CTTATGTGCAGATAACTCATTTTTAATAAAATTGTTTTTGCCGTTCAATGGTCCATCCAATATAATTATTGTAAAATAATTTTTCGTTTTTAATACTAATAAATAATTAAGGAAATATTTTTTCGGAGCACTTCAACGTTGAGTCGTTGATCAGGATGGACCTCACATGTTTTCACTGTAGAATAATCCCTTAAAGCAAAGTAATTTGTCCACTTTTTACTCAATGATCTGTTTGTGGATGATGGAGGGGATTCCATTTTTCTTAATTATAATTTTAAATTAAAATTTTATAAATAAAGAAATAAATATTAGAAAAAAAATTTTAATAAAATTTGATGTAATTTAATTATAAATTAATTAAAATTTAATATAATTATTTTTTTTTAACATATTTTACAAAGAACGGGTTTTGAACCGCCCGAGAAGAGGAAATGCGCCGGCTGGCTTTTGTCAGGCCGCAACGGCCACGTGCAAATTTAATATAACTATTAAATATACGAAAATTAATAAAAAATAATAATTTAACCACTCTTGCAATTAATCTATTATCATTTCCCGACTCGGCCCTACCCAATTTCTTCTGTTTTCCTTCTGTGCAGTTGCCCTCACTCTCTGGACCTCTTCTAATTTGCTCGGTTTGATGATTATAAATATACTTGCCATTAGAAGAACCAGATCATCAGCAAAACAGAGTACAACATTGTACGACGCACAAATCAAAATTAGCATCCTCCCAAAATGCCATCACCACCTTCTTCCCCTAACTTAGAATCCCCACAACCAATTCCACAACCACCACCCCTCACCGGAGTTGACTTGGAATCTCAACAATTTGATTCAGATGTTGCTCAACCGAATCTGCAATGGCAAAATGCCATAATTTCATTTTGCTTTACATCTGCCCTACAAATATCTCTCCAGTTTGCAAAAACTCAGTCCAAACTGCCTCTCTCCTTCAGTTTGGTTTCTTTTGCAATCTTGATTACCTTTGCCTTTCTCTTGCTTGCAAAGTTTATCAGCAGGGATCATACCAGGGTATCCCAAGAGTTGGAGAAAGTTGCATTTCTCATTGCTGCAGCTACATTCTGCTACACCACCACAATTCCCTTCCCAATAGGCTTCAAGTTTGTTATCTGGTGTATCTTTTCCATTTCCTTGCTTATTCTTGTCATTTACAGCAAGTACTTCTGCCGTCCT